GTGCCATTGATGCCACTTATTTTAAAATCGTTCAGCAACTGTACAGTCTTATCCCGTTTTGGATCCGTGGGGTCGCTGTCACGAACGGCTTTTAATATTTTGATTTCATCTCTGGCAGTCTCGGTGAAATGAGGCGCTGATTTCACGACTTTAAGAGCTACGAATCTTTTATCCACGAGGTCCCAGCACAGCCAAACCGTTGAAAAGTGTCCCCAGCCCAGTTTGCGTGTGACATGGTACCGGGAGAGGAACAGGTCTCCGATTTTGACGGGATGGTAGCCGCCTTTGCAATAATCCGAAGTGTCTTCCTGCTCCTCCTCTTCCTCGCTCGTGTAGATCTCTTCCTCATCCTCTATCGTTTCGTTAGAGGAGCTATGTGACGGCTCAAACCTGTTATTGTATCTGTTATTTCCCTGATTGTTCTCGTCATTTTTGGCTTTCTTCTTGCCTTGCTTATGACGCTTCTTCTTCGCTTGAATGGCGAGCAGCCGCCTATTAACATCTGATTTGGAACTCATTTAGAATAAATTACGGATTTGAAACAACTAAAAAAACGTAAAACCCAATTAATTCATTGCGATAGCTTTTGTTTGAGTATGGCGGCCGAATAAAAGAACAAAACGAAATCGGTCATAATGGCATGAATGAATAACTTCTCCGTGCCGTCCTTTGCTGTCAAGTCGACCATTCGCGAAATGCTACCAACCGACGGCGGCAATGGCGATCGGAATGCGGCAATTTGAAAATTGCGAAAGCGGCAATTGTGCAATTCGTTTTTATTGACAGTAACGATTTGACGGACTATACGATTGTATATTGTTCGTTTTCCATGACATTTACATTTGAATTAAATTCATTTAGTTAATTTTCACTAAATTCATAATCGCTTTTGTTGGCATTTTGAACTTGTGTCTCCTAGACAATATAATAACAATAATGATATAATATAATGATATAATAATAATAATAAATATAATGTTGTGTCTTGAAATCAAAGATAAATTTAATACTTACATTTGAATTAATATTAAGTGTAAATAGATAATCACATTTAAAATCCATTATATTTTGTTCAAAATTATCAGCTTAAAGTTTTGAATGTACACACAATTATAGTTAAGTTACTCAACTTAGTAATTAATCAATATTCAGTTTAAAAAGTTTGTAAAAGACAAATTTATGTAAAAAAAGGAAATTTTATCATATCGATAAATTCGAATGACAGTGACATATTCTACCCGACTGTCGGAACAGATTAGTGACCATTTTCATTGGTTATGTTGGTAGAATCTTGCTGACGACCATTAACTGTCAGTTTTGGAGGGAACAACGGATTTCGTGTTTGACTTTTTTATTTCCCGAAAAAATATATTTTATCATTAGTCTATTGTAAGTTTTAAGTTTAAAATAATTCAACAATGGCTCAGCCATCAATCACATCATATTTTAACACGAGAAAACGTGCTGCAATCGACGATATTAGTAGTGCTAGGAACAAGGTGATGCTTTTGGATAATGACGCTTCACAGGGTGACATTGGCCTTATTGCTAAAGCCATTTTACTAAAAGGTGTAGATACTCAATTCAACGAAAAGATTAAACAGAAGACCATAGAGCCTAAGAGGAATCGTGTTGTTACCAAGTTGGACTTTGATTCTCCGGTTCGTAAGACCCCAGTACGAAGGGTTGCAAATAAAAGCAAAAATGCTACTACACCTAAGCCTCAACCGAAACAGAACTGTATTTTTACACAACTGGGCTCTTTGTCGCCAGTTAAAAAAGCTCAACCTCCTAAAGAAATCATTCTCAAAAAAGCTACTCCTGAAGTTACTAATGCAGCTCCTGCTGTCAAAAAAGAGGAATCAATTAAACAAGATAATGCTGTGCCAGCCGAAACAAATCAAAATAAGAAAGATGAAACCAAAGGAACTTTATCTGCACTTAATGCTAAAACTGATATCAAAGATATGTCTTATGCGGAGATTAAAACTAAACTTACAAAAAGTTCTCGATTGGAAGAACTTAAGGCTAGAGTTAACAAACTGAATGAGGGCATGAAAAAATTGGACGAGAAGAAATTACCAAAACTTGAGAAACCAAGCTTGAAAGAGTTCAAAACTATTGACTTGGTAGTAACCACGAGGTGAGCATATAAAATCATATTATTTAATGCATGTTAGGGGTAACATCATTGTAATAGATTAATAAACGTTTAGATAAAGGAAAATATTTTAAAATGGCGCCTCACAGCAATAAGAGTTTGTAAAGATATTGATTTTTATGTAATTAAGCGAGTATTTGTGTTAAATCAAGATTTGCAGTGGCGTTACCTCTTTAGTATGGAAAAAATACTGCATACTTGTCTAAATACGACTCTTTGTACTTTTATGTTTGAAATAGTATGATTTGTTCCTTTTAAGGCGATATGAAAATCCAAAGGGTAAAGCAATGCTTTATTTGCACTAGATTCAATACATATTTAATATCATCTTTGTTTATTTCCAGTTATTCTTATTAATAAATAAGAAATACATTTACATGTTATACAAAAGCACAGAATATAAAAGTTTTACATGTTTTTCTGTGATTAAATATTGACGAATTTAAATTCTTCACTCCTAATTAATATAAATTCTGGATCATGCAATATAAGTAATTTCTTCAATTGAAATATAATTCATATAAAAATTTAACAAAGGATTTCCTTAATAAAGTAATTTAATCACAAAAATTCTATTAAGACATGTGATATAAATAATCTTTAATTGAATTATCATTCATATAATTTACAAAAACTCACTTATTAAATGATTATTTTTTTAATAAATAAATGGAAATTCTATCAAAACTTGAGTAGATGGATTTTTATTATGAAATATCGGGATTTCTATATTTGCATTCTTTAATTTTAAATTCTTATTAGTTCAGATTTATCAAAGGTTATCATCAGTAAATTCTCGATTGATTTATTTTGAATTCCATAAATATATTATGGAATTAAATTAAGGTTATCATCAGCAAATTCTCGACTGATGTATTTTGAATTCCATGCACAAATATTATGAATAGAATTCTTTCAAATTCTTGTAACAAGAATTTTTTTTGGTATGTTATCTTTACATTTTTGTAGATATCTTTCAAGTAAAGTATTCAGGAATTTTCTAATAATTAAGTCATAGCATACTATATCGTACCAATATTTTAAATATTTTATTTGGAAATTTAACTGCATTTTTAATTGTAATTAA